ACTGGTCAAGTTTAAGACTAGATCAGCACTCGACTCCATCATTGGAAAATATCACAATATTTGACAATGGTGAACGCTTGACCTCAGTTGACATCCGTTGTCCCAAACTGCAGCATCTTATGATTAAAAAGTCAATGACTCGTTCCACTATTGTAAAAGCAGTTTCAATATTGTCTTTTGATGTCCAGAAGATTGTAGTCAGTGACATACCTAACCTTCGGAAAATCACTGTTGAAGCTGACAGAGTCGCATACCTTGAACTGAACTTTGAAAGAAGGCTAGATCATGTCAAACCTATTGAATACACAAAGTTAAATTTCAGAAGTGGGATGTGTCAGTTGAAAATCAAGCATCTTGTTATCAAGAAGTGTAATTTGAAAGCTCTAGTTGTTTCTTTGTGCAATGTTCAGCATATATCCCTGGAATACTGTAACCTTGACTGCCCTGTTGGTGATTTGATTCAAAACTGTGGTATGGTGGAATCACTGACTTTGAAGAACTGCTACGGGCCTTGTCAGTTGAACTTGAACAGTGAGCATCTCAAAGAACTCTATGTTGTTTCCTGTACATCACTGCTTATGGATCACATCAATCTGGCTTGTCCATCTCTGGTAGTACTCAATGTGTCTGGACTGTTATTCTTGCCAAGCCAGGAAGAAGTACATTTTATTGCTAGCAATGTCAGGGAACTGTCTCCTTTTCTTGGATCTGTTAAATTCTCTCATTAGATGAGGCCTGTTAAAGAACAACCCCAACTGACTTTCCGAAGATTTACTATGATTTTCCAAACTTGTTCCAAACATTGCTGAATGTGATTTTCTACCAGCTTGAAGCTGGCTAGTTCGCAAAGTTTCAGTCCAGGGCGATCCTATTTACTGTAAATCCTCTACTAAGCCCCCCCTCTCAAATAAGCCTCCTCCCTCTAATAAGCCCCCCTTCATGGGAAGGAAGTTAATAAGCTCCCCTCCCCTCCCCTAAATATTCTTCACTAGTAAGTGATAGACTGGATTAATCAATCATGACTGTAAAAATTCTTGTGGACTGATCCGGGGTGGTTTATTTACTAACTGGAAGTTCGGATTTGATTCTGATCCTCGGCTGCTTGACCTAAAACTTCCTTTACTAGAGCTTTTCTACTTTGTGTTCTAGTTCTTTATGGAGACCTGATACCATTGTTATTTCTAAATTAAATAAGCCTCCCTTCTCTATTAAGCCCCCCCCCCTCAAATGGGCTTGGAATAAATAAGCCCCCCCCCCACCCCTTGAGGGCTTAATAAAGGATTTACGGGGTTAGCGAGATATAAGCAACTAAAGTTTTGGTTCTAGGTCAGTAGCGCTCCTTGTTTCATCAGCGAAATGACTTCAGACATTGGCGAATGGAACGTTAAAGAAACGACGCGTAGGCGAAACTACTTGTCACGCGTGCATTTGTGCCGAAATGCACAAAGGTGTAACTCGTGCCTTTCATGAATTTCCCTTACTAAATAGTGCGCACTAAAAAACATTAGCCAACTATCCTTACTCTACTATCCCATAGTTGGTCGCATAGTGAAAAAAGTACGTCAAGTGCATTTTCTCTCAGTCTTATTTTCGAAATGTTCCACCACAACTCATCGTTTATATTTTCTCGCAGTTTTCTTTCCCAAATAGACGTCTAAATACCGCACTGTAAACAAAGCTAGCAACACTAGGTGCGCTTAATGTTCTTTTCAAAATGTCGCAGGGATGAACAAACGGTCTAATGCATGTATTTCGAGCTGACTTTCTCATATGCAAAAGATGTAATTGCCCAACTTCCGGTCGCTGGAGAGGTTTGACAAAAATTGCAAAAAAAATCTATAAAAACAGCTTTGAGGACGTTCAATTGAAATAACAAGAAAAAGGAAAGAAATCTTAAGGATAGACAAAGAGTAAAGAAATACAAAAAGAAAGAAATTGAACAACTGAAGGAAGAAGAAGAAAAGGAGAGGCACGCAAAAATGACAAAAATCAACGAAAGGAAGAGAAGTTGGTCTGGAGCCCCGTGGTAGGCCTCTGACAGATGCAAGCGAACTATACGCGCTTCCGCGCTAACGATGCCAGCTGACATTGCACATGGAAACATATCCGTTTTGTTATTGCTTTTAATATGACTAAACTTTTGGCTAGCACAAAATGAGCCGACAACATGACGCGCCAGTAATTATTATTCCTGCTCATAAGAGGGAAGCGATTTGTTTTAGAGAATATTAGAACAATATCAGTCATGTATCATTTTCTAACACTATGGTGATTCTTTGCAACACAGTCCCAATAAAAATATAAATTTTCCAGCAACGTGCATGGTCCTTTAATCCCACTGTTTACAAAGGTAGTTAATTTTGTTTTTCCCTCACTTCTTGCCGGCAGGTGTTTTGTCAAATGCGTTTTTCATGCCATTGTTTACATTGTAGGGGAGGGTAGAAATTGTAATGTTGCTTCCTCAAAATTAAAGGCAAAACTTAACTTTCTGTCCACAAATAATAAATTTCCGCCGCAAAATCTGTCATTTAAATGAAATTTACGTATTTTATTGGCTCTTTGTCTATTGATTTGCACAAAAATGTAATAACAAAATACTCCCCTCTCTCCCCTCTCTTCCCGGTGATCAGTGTCTGTGGCTGCTGTGCCATGTGGTCCGCGGAAAACTATTGGCGCGAGTCCGGGCAGTTTGAGTTGGATCTGAAAGTTGACAAGGAGGAAATCTCGATTTCTTTGTTGTCATTGTGGGTGGAATCCCTCAGATTACTCGATGGCACAACAAGGTACCAGTGCATTTTCAGCAGAGGATAGCTCGAGGACGAATGGAACTATGGAAAACGTGCCGAACTCTCAAGACACGGTAAGTCTTCGCGGTTCGACAGCATAGGTGTATTTTGACGTTTGTTAATTATTATCGCCGTCGATCAGTTCCACGAAAAACCATGATCCGCACAACCCTACAAAACTTAACAAACCTCGAATTGTTTAATTTTGTGTTAAGTTGCCGATCGTCATCTACCTCAAGCTCGATTTTCCCTGTGTGTGCTGGAAATACCTTGAAGGAGGTCTTCTAAATTTTGTCATGGAGACAGGATTGTCCTGGTCAGACGAGACTTGCGCTGTAAAATTACACTTTCAAATCCTTAAATGGTATGTTTTAAAAAGTCCAATGGCAAATTAAGCTTTGTAAACTGTCGTGAAAATTTCTTGCTTGCATTGTGACGCACTTGCATTTACGCGGAAATGTTTTAATCGCTTGCAAAATATGATATAAGCACAAACTACACTCCCGACAAGAAGTCTTTGTCTCGTAACTCTCGACTGATGTAACTATATGCTTTTCAGGTTTCTACCACTTAACGTTCATTAGTCTCAAAGAAATGCGGGAAATATTTCCCAGACTTGAACTGCGAAACAAAATGTGTTGCTCAAGTATTTCCGCTTTTCGCAATTCTTTGCATGTGTTTATTCAAATCCCCGATCCTTGAGCATTGTCGCGCGCTTTTTCTTTGTTATTAGCGATACCATGGAACTGTTACATTTGCATTTATCCATGAATTCGCTAGTTTAATTATCTGATTTTCCGATGGGAGCATAAAGATGGAAAATACAAATAGCTCATCTTGATCATCCTCTACACCCGGCTGATTTCAACGTTTGTTTTGTCTTTCAAACCCCTTGACATGCTGTTGCGATCACACTGGCCGGGAAATGTTATCATTCCTGTTTATCTTTATCTCCATATTACGAAAATAAAAAGCGTCTCTTCTCATGATTATAATTGAAGTAGCATGCGGAAAAACACAGTCTTTATCTATGTCATCCAAATTTACTAGACGGGTATCGAATGTCTAGTATGTGCAGCACAAATAATATTCATTACAATTCAGTATTCATTACCGAAAAGCTGTAGACGTCCGGTGGTATTGCAGAAGTAGTGGATGAGTACATATATAATTGTTTATATCTTTATCGCT